TGTGGTGACACTATGCTGCTGTAGGATGAGCTACTGGAATTGTGTGATGGCTCAACAGTGAGGCTGAAGCACAGGGCCAGATGGGTGCAGGGGCTGAGCCACCAAGACACTGCAGCAGGAGCACGTTTGGGTCAGTCAAAATGCAGAGCATCAGGAAATAAAAGATAGTATTTCCTGATAGAAGAAAAACAAGAAACCAAAACCAGCCTGTTGGGTGACGGTTCTGATTCGCTACAAACATACTTACTTAGACCTTGCTGGTGCAGGCTCCTGCTGGACCAGGCTTTGCTCCTAATTCACCTGGGGAGGCTTGCTCCATGTGGACAGTGCTGGCACGGTCAGGCCAGCAGAACCTGCCCCTTTGTTAAATAAAACTCAAAAACTAGAAAACAACAACAAAACCAATAACAAGAATAAAAAAAAGAGACCCACAAAAAAACAAGGAAGGAAAAAGCAAATGCCATTGGGTAAGTGTCAGTTCTGCCTCGCTGAGAATGCAGAGTGGCTGGTCTGTCCTGAACACTAATCTCCAAGTCTTGGACCCAGTCAAGCCTCTTGCTCCAGCCCCTCTCCCACGTGCTCCAGGCAGAGTGCACTGAAAGATGTGACTGAAGCAGCTGCTCTCCTCTGGGGAGTCCGGCATTGGCCATGTCTGAAAGTCTTTAGTACTTAATTTCTTTACTGTGATTGTAAAGGTCACCACAGACAGTACAGCCACTTGATCTGGGATCTTTTCTTAACACATTTTTATGCAAATTTTACTGTTTTAATTCTTCGTTTGGAATGTATTTTTTTCTCATTTCTTCTGTGTGTAACAGCAATTAAAATTATTAATTTACTGGGTATTTTTACTGTGCAGATACAATGTCTCCTTGCTCATTTTCTGTTCCTGTAACTGTGTCAGCAGAGAGTATGAGGCCAAAAGAACCTCTGTGGTGGGCAGTTTTGTGCCACTATTATGCCCATCAGCATATGTTATGTTGGATCCACTCAGCATCCCACTGAAACCCTGTCACAGTCAGCTGCAATATTCCTGTCTGGGGAACCCTGTAACACAGACACGTGCACCCCACAGAGCACATCCAACACAAACCAACCAGGCACCACCGTGACGAAGGCATCTGGCTCGTGTTACGCCACGTCCTGGGTGCCCTGGGATGCAAAGCCCTGAAGCAATCCTGCCCCTTGCTGCTCCAGCCAGTCCCACACACAATGGCCATTTGTCCACAATTCCAGGGAAAAAGCATCCTGCTGCACAGGATTGCTCTGGGAAGGCTCTTTTCTGCCAAGAAGTCTCAGACAAATGGCCAAATCTCTCTCCCTGCCCCGCCCCAGAAAAATTTCCGGGAGGAAAAAAGTAGGGTAGTCTGCACTTTTTATTCTGGTTGGGGATCTGCTGCCAGATTCTTCAGCTGTTTGATGCAGTGGCACAGATATTTTGTATCATTAATCCTGAACCAGGCCATCTGTCACCAGTAGAACAGGTTTCAAGGATTTATAGCACAGAAACACACTGTGTGTAACTGCTCCCTGTAAGTTAAATGGATCTGCTTCCAGGCTTAATCGAGACTCCTTAATACTCCCCTTCTGAAGTGAAGTGATTCCTGATGTGAGAATTAATCAGTACCAGGCAGAAATACTACCAAATTATTTTCAAAGCAGCCTAAAGGTGTCAACAGCAGGCAGAAGTGGGTGAGTCTTTCCTCTTTCTTTAATTTGATCTTTTACAATTCCTTTCAAGAACTTTAGAGGCCTGCTGGGAGGAGCATCCTGTTTCCTCATACCTCCTTCCTAGCTCCAGATGGAACAAAAGTGACAAAATACAAAGTGTTATGTCTGTGGCTGGCCACTGCTATGCTTTTATTCCACAACTGGCTTCTGAAAGATTTCAGTCTAAATTAAAAGAACCAGCACCAATGTATATATATATATATATACATATACATATATATATATATATATGTGTATATATATATATACATATATATATATATATACACATTTGTATATATATATATATATATATATATTTGTATTAATCTACCTGTCAGTGGTTCAGGTAGTCTAGTCTTGGCCACTGGCAGTGAAGTTCCTGGACCTTCTGTGGCCAGTGCTTTCACGAAGTGACTCCCTCATTTGCAAAGCTGTGTTTACTTTCTTGGTATTGGAAGGACTCTAATCTTTGTATATATACAATCTGACATAAGGAAGCCTAAAAAGGTCCTGCTGGGCTATCTGGGGACATGGAGACAGAAGCCAAGTCTCCTCTTGAACTCAAAATCAGGATTCTCACTGACCAGTGCGGAAGCAAACATATATAGAAGAGAGAAGTGCAATCTTTGGCTCCTTTTATTACCATTAAGCTATGTTAGCAGATGGTTTAGAAATACCACATTTAACATGTACCCTAATGCTGTCTAAAACCATTTAGAGGAAAGGAAGATAGAAACATGGGAAGTGTCCCTGCTGAGCAAAAACCCCACTCCACACCACCTGGTTTAACTGACCATTACAGAAGCCAAGGGCAGCTGTGTTTTGAGCCACATGAAGACAAACTACGCAGCCACAGCAATGCTGTTCTGCATGCTGGACTAGGCACAGCTAGTTCCACTAATTACCTCTTGTGTTTTGACTTCTGCAAACTTCCTGTCACTGTGTCCATCTCTTTCTTAAGGAAAAGAAAATGAGTGCCATAATTAGTGCAATCAACCCTATGTTTTGAGAGCAAGTTTCTCAAAGTGATGGATTAAAAGCTTTCTACAAATTTTAAACCTAATAAAGCCCTGTAAGGCTTTCCACTGTATAAAGGAAAAAACTGTCTGGTCACAGTTTTCATAGGAAGTGATAGTTCAAATTTAGGGAGTTCTCATTTTCACTCCCATTTCCCCTTGTTCAGTTCAGCACTATTATGAATAACTTGCTTTGGGTCTAACAGGCTTTGTGTTCTCTGCAACCTTCCACCTCCAAGCCTCAGGAAACTTATATTAACCCCTTCTGAGCTACAACAGCAGCAAAGCTGCTGCTGTGTTTCACAGAAGTGGTGCAATGCCCTATTTGGTTTTGCAAATATTAAGAAAGGGGCTAAAACTGAAAAACATGGCTAAGCAGAAGAATGCCAGTGTCCTTCCTTGAAGGAGAGAAACAGAAGAATACACGTGCATTGGGTTTGCAGGGCAAGCTTTTGGTCCTGTGGGGGGCTGCAGGGGTGGTTTCTGTGAGAAGCTGCAAGAAGCTTCCCCTGTGCCCAGCAGAGCCAATGGGCCCAAGATGGACTCGCTGCTGGCTAAGGCTGAGCCAACAGAGATGGTGGCAGTGCCTCTGTGTCAACAGACTTATGAAGGGGGAAAAGAAACAGTGCAACAGCAACTGCAGCTGAAGAGAGGTGTGAGAACGAGTCAGAGCAGAAGAAGGAGGTGCAAGGATGATGTGTGATGAACTGACCACAGCCTGTGTTCCTTGTCCACCTGAGCCACCGGGAGAAGGAGGTAAAGAATTCTGGAGTAAAGTTAAACCCAGGTAGAAGGGAAGGGTGGTGGTGGGGAATGTATTTTAAGATTTAGTTTTTATTTCTCATTAACCTACTCTGATTTGATTATAAATTAAATAAATTAATTTTCCCCAAGTTGGGTGTGTTTTGCCCGTGACAGTAATTAGTGAATGATCTCCCTGTCCCTATCTCGCCCCATTAGCCTTTTGTTAAATTTTCTCTTTCCTGTCCGGCTGTGGAGGGTAGAGATAGAGCGGCTTTGGTGCGCATTTGGTGTCCAGCCAGGGTCAACCCAGCACAACAGAACAAGAGGAACTGAGACAGAAGTTAAACCTCCATGGAATCAGCATAGAAACCAGCAACTCCTACAGAGCTATTCAAATCAGCAGATTTGCTCAGCCCTTAGATCCCTCCTTACTACTTTCCCTTACGATAGCCTGTCATCAGGTAAAGACCACTGAAAGAATCCCTAAAGAAAGTCTTTCAAGTCCTGCTCTGAAGGGGCTTCTGGTCCAATGAAGAGGGCTTGCTTTTTACATGAGGCATGATGCCCTCCAGCCTACAGTGCCTGATTCCAGGCAGTAACTACCTCTCTAAGCAGTAACTACCACTCTTCCAGAACTAAAATTCATCCAGTATATAGTTCCTGAGAGCTAAAATAAGCCTGCAGTTAAGCTTAATTTGATGTAAATGCCTTATCTGCTAAAATCAGTTTTACAATCTCTTATTCTGACTCCTGCTTTCCCACCTCTCTCAGCTGCAAACAGATGCCAGGAGAGAAATCCTCCCCAGAGACCACCCAGGTCAAGGTAAAGAGGAGCCCTTGGAGCCCCTTAGACATAGGCTCCCATTAAGGTATCTCAGTACAAATCAGCACCTCACCCACAGAGTGCTTTTGCAAGCCTGGTTCCTTAGCCAGCTCTGCTGTAAACAGGCTGATCTGAATAATTTTTAAGAGGTGTGTTCCTTTTGTAACAGTCCTCACCTTGACAAGCTCTGTGTGGGAAGGCAGCAGGTACTTGCTATCCAGCAATCAGATCTCTGAGGGGATAGAGAGCTGCTCTCATGCCCCACAGGCCTGCCTGCCCTCCCCGAAGAGGGTGAGCAGTGCTGCCAGAGTTCCTTGTGTTAGCCTGGCTGGCAGCCTGAGAAGGCTCCCACTGATTAGAGGAACAAGGAAACTGTGGCTTCAGGGAGGAGCATATCAGGGAGCATGGGAAGTGGGAGACATGGTAACACCAAGAATTCTTAAAAAAAATGGTTAAGAATTGCTTTCAGTCTTTCGGGTGAGCAGTGTCTGGCTTTGGTGCATGTATTCTATGCACAAAGACAGGTCAGCTTGCCTGAAAATCAGAGCAGGAAACCCAGTGTATGCATCCCTTCCCTCTGCTGACCCCCTGCGAGCTACTTCCACATCCTGGGTGGGGGGTGTGTGTGTGTGTGTGTGTGTGCGCTCAGCAGTTGCCAGCAGGCTGTCCAGAAGCAATGATCTCAGGCAAAAATAACTCCAAAAGATCTTTCCAAATATAGTCCCTCATTATTGGTGCTGTATCAGCTTCATTTCAAGCTGTGCCTGGCAGCCTCTCTCTTGTTCCCTTTCAGAAGACACTAACAGGCCTGAGGCACCAGGGCCTTTCTCTAGAAAGGGAGAACAGGGGAAACATACTTCAGCGACTTCAGATAAAAGAATCCTTGCTCTCAAATGTTTAACCTCAAAGGCTCTATAGTTAATCAGCCCTAAGCAGGGTGAGCTTGCCAGGGGCTGATGACACTGACAGGACACGGTTTCTTTCCAGGTACTGCTGCACACACTGCAAGACCACTCTGCAAGCTCTAAGTTTGGGCACGGTGACACGGGAAGCCATGTGAGGGTCATGGGTTAGTGTTGGTAAAACCTCACCCCATGCACCTGGAAGTGTTCAGGCTCACACAATCAGTTTGAGCCAGCTGCAACCAAGCTCTGTGTTACAACTGGATTTAAGCTTCACTGGGTGGGAGCTTTAACAAAACAAGGAAAAGAGAGGGGGTCTGTTTTTCTTCCATTTTGTGTCTTGGAAATTTAACTAACTGTCATACAATGTTGGCAAAATCCTGCCGTTTTACAAAGGAAGAGAACAGATTTACCCAGTGTGGTGTCTGTAGTAGCCAAAAGAAGCATAAAGCTGTTATCAGAGTGCATCAGTGGACTGCTTGGAAGTGCTAAGTATGGCACAGGTGCAGGGCAAGCCTGGTTAGGGACTGAGAAATAGGCATATTTACCTTTGAGCCATCTAGGGAATTCATGAGGCCTGCTAGCCAAATATGCCATTTTAAGGGATGTGATATTGCCTTCAAGCAACTGAAGACAAATTTCGGTGATCTGAGAGGACGACAAAGTCAGAGAGTGAGGCTCTTTTTTTTTGGATAGGAAAGTTCTTACAATGTGACCTTGCAGCTTCAACTCCAGGACATACAGATTGAGCAATCTCATCCCCTGTGGACAAGGATGAGAGCCACACTGGCCCAGAGCCACAGTGCCAGTCCCAAAAAGTGCACTTGCCCTCGTAAAATAGCAGGGTGTAAACTATACTCAGACACGAAATCTGTGGTTACTCAGTCTGGAGGGAACCAACCCAAATAAATCACAATGGCCACAAATCTGACCTACCACAGATGATCAGCTTGCAGCTGCAAGTTGTAGGGATCATAAGTAGACAGATGCTACATGTTGAGGTGAACCACAACTTAGGTTTGGATGTGATGCTAATGCTGCCCTTGTAGAGGGTCACTGTTAGGTGGGGGTTGCTGATGAAAACACAGCTCAGGGCGCAGTTGTTGCTATGACTCATGTTGTGGTTCTTCAGTGGGGCAATGAAACAGGAAGCACAGACCTTCCCAGGATATTCCATCTTGAGGTCAGAACATTGCTGAGGATGGAATCACTGTGGGTTCCTCTGCACTGCACTTTCTGCACACACAAACATGTAAACACCATCAAGACAGAGTCTTCTCCTGCACAAGCACAAACCTTAAAAAGCTTGGGTATGACATTTCATGACAAGGATCTTCTTTCCCATCAAGGAAAACCTAGGGAGGAGGAAGAATGAACAACACACAACATTACTGTTGGCATCTGACCAGCATACCCATTTCAACATGTAAACAAACACAAACTGCAAAGCAAGAAAGGAAGGAATTGGAAATCTCATTCTCCCATTAATCTGCTATGCAACTGTAAGCAAGCAATTAATTTCTTTGTTTCTTGGTCTGTAACTAAGGTGTCAGATTTTTGCTCCACAGGGATATATCAATGCCTTCTCTCACTAATGCCATTAAATTGTAAAGTGCTTTTTGGATATTTGGCTCCCAAGGCACTTTAGAAATGCATGATTAAATTACACCCAATTATAAACCAAAGCAGGTGATCTTATAAAGGAAGGGATATTGCTCTGCTGGTGTTGCTCTGAGTCATTAATAGCCTCCAGAATGCTCTGGGGAAATCAAGGGGAACCGCATGTACAATTTAATTTCCAGTGTCCACTTCAAATCTCACATTTTCAGCCTGTATTTAAACACATTTCTTGAAGTCTTTATTACTGCCTTTTGCATTGGCATGGGATCCCATCAGGTAGGTCCCTTGTATTCTAAATGTATCACTGTATGACAAAATTCTTTTATGAGAGAAAACAGCCTATTTCCTCCTTTTCTTTCAGAGTTTTTCTTCCATCTCATGTTTGTGCAAATAAACCTTATGACTTGCCATTTTTAATGAAGAATAGGAATTCACATCTGCTTGTGTCCTGCTGGTCCTGCCTGAAGACAGGCAGGCTGTTATCAAAGGAACACTGAGGGAGTTGACTGCAAGGCACAGCCAACCTAACTTTCCTCCATTCACTGCTCTTCTACACTTGCCTTCATGCACAGAAATTACTGAGGTTACATTAGACTCTGTAAAATCCAGGCCTACAGCACTTCCACACAAGAACACAAATATGGCCACATAACTGGACTGCTCTTTCTCAGATGCACACGTAGCCCAAGTAACATACCGATGGTCCAGTGATGTCAATCAGGAAAGGCTGACTGTTAAATACAAATTCACAATTTGACATCTCATTACTCCTTTTAGTGTACTACTCATTGTGTTATTTTAATGTATTGCCCATCACTCTTAGAGGGATTAGAAGACTTGTAGCAGCACATCGATAGGCTTCTGAAGAAATATATGCTTAATTTAGTAATGTATGTTAATATATATCTCTTTGATATTACTGCATTATTACACTAGGAATAGGCCAAGCAAACAAATTTGCCTTGGATCTCACCATTTAAAGTCTGCATTCTGCATTGCCCCAGACTGGGCAGAAGGATGACTTACCATTTTGACTTGAGCTGGGCCATGTTCAGTTTTGTCTGGGAGCAGTGCTGATGAGACATCTCTATTACTGATTAGACATGAGCAGGGAGCAACAGAACAACGGAGAAAGCATTTTCCTGATAGGATGAGCTCTGAATGTTTAATTTAATGTTCTTTTAGGATCTTCTTACAGTTTCTGGCCCTGAAGGACTGTCACACAGTCTCCTGCATGTAACAGATCTGTTTGCTTTTTATTTAGCAAACAAATCCTACTCAGACTGGAAATGTGCTACAAGACAAATGATTTGTAACACCAATCATCTGTTATGTCAAGACATGATAATATTACCCTCCCTTCACATGGATGGCCTTGACTGTGCTGACTTTTAATTTAAAAAGTATCTGTATGAACTGTTACGTAATGTGCTATATACACATGTAGCAAAAGGAAGCCTGGTCCTGAAGTGATTGCCAACAAATGGATGGGGTAAGACAGGAGGTATTCTTGTGTCTAATCTCCAGGTGGGCACCTGAGGTGCAAACCAGGTTAGTGATACACCCAAGGCCACACAGGGAGTCTTGTGTACAAGAGCACCCGTGTTCCTCCAGTGCTGTCCTGAATTTTTATGCTTACCTCTGTCTGCGGAGATGTACCATTGCTCCTGTGAATCCAGAGGGAAAGCACCCCTGCTGCAAATTCTGCAGACAGTGATTCAGAAGTTTTTTGTCCCTGAGAGCAGGGAGCAGGCTTGTGACACACTTATTGCTGTAGACCTCTGTGTCTGTGAACCACGTGGCATTACTGACATCACACTGCAGGACACCGTAAGTCTGCTAATGGTCTTCTCCATCTGAGCTGCGATTTAGGGTCATGGTGTTTGGGACTTCTTCAACCAGCTGCAGATTAGCGGAAAGCTGTGAATTAATGACCCCTTCAAGTACTAGTTTACTCTGTTTGGCACCCTCCTTTTGACCTTCTCTGGGCCAAAGAATTTTCACTTTAGCCTCTCCCTTCCAAAGTCCCTGTGTGTCTAGGAAAGTACTTCTACCCTGAGCAACCTGACGACCAATTTGCCCTGTGCATGTTGTTACCTTCTGATGAAGAAATAAGGCAAAGCACTCTAAAGAGATGACAAGTACAAAATATACTGCAAAGGTCTCTAAACCCCAAGAGTCTCTCTGAGTAGCCAAGCCAGCCTGCCTCCACTTGGCTGGCACAGACCCACTTTCAGTGGAAATGATGTCACCAGGCTGCTGAGGGGACAGACACTGTTGTGTTAGTCCTGTTATGGGAATTTGCCTGTTCAAATAATGGCATGAAAAACAAAGTAGCATTTGGGGATGTCTGTAAGCAGTAACTGCTTCCCTCTTTCCCTCCACTTTGGACAGAGTGAGCAAAGCCCCAGCAGTACCATCCTTATTCCTGGGCCCTGAACTATGTTGCTTCCAGGTTTGGCTCACCTAACTGGCTCTGAGTAGTGTGAAGGAAGAACTTGGGAAGCACAATGACAAGAGGCAGGAAAATCCTCACTGGGCAGGGAGTCTTTCTCCCCTTGAGTGGAAACAAAATTTGGATTGTTCCTGTGGCATTTTTTTTTTAGATAAAGGGCTGTATCATTGGAAGCATTCAAATTGGCTTTTTGTTTGTTTATTGTCTTTTTTTTTTTTTTTTTTAATTAAAAAGCAACCTTCCCAACCCTAGTATTGGTGCAGAAATTGTGTGAATTTTCCACAAGCAGAAAAATACCTCCTTGTCAAGACCCAGATGGAGGTGATGGAGGTGCCCAAGTTTTCTCTATACTGTATCTGCAACTTGCATTTGAATGTTGTAAAGGACATCTCCATAACTAGTCTTGAGGATAACCTTGTACAGGTCAGAAACAAATCACTGGTGCTGTGGACAAGGACTGGGTATGGTTCTTGTCCTCTCTCTTGCTGATATGCCTTCTTTTTCCACATCAGTGGTGGTGGTGGTGGGGAGCAGTGGCCAAGACAACTGCAACTGTAATGTTCTGCTTGCTGGCTCGGGCAGCAAAAGAAACAAACACCATCTCTGAGCACAAAAGGGATATCTGTGTCTGCAAATGCTACTTGTACATAATCAGCCTGATAGAAAAATGTTTCAAGGACACCAATCTGGGAGATTTTTTCAAGTTGTAAAGGCAGTGGCAGGCTTTGTCTCCAGAAAAGTGCACAAAGCTGGTTTGGCTTGGGAGATGCCACAAAACCTTATGTTACAGTTCATTAGTTTGATCATCCTGAAAGCTGAGGGAACACAGCTGGTTCAACAAGATCAACTTGTACAATTTGGACTGAGAGATGCTTTCTTACAGTGGGGCTGATTCTGCAGGGTCCTGTGGAGCTTCAGCTCATGTAGTAGTCCAAGCTTAAAAAAGAAGGAAAGCACATAAAAACTGCCATTAGCCTCTGCAGAAATGAGCCCAACATCCATGTAATAGAACTTGTACCTCAGACAAGACAGTTTTAGGACTTCAAGCAGTGTCTTTACAACCCGGTGACTCCCTTAGGTCACTCAAGGTTTAATCAAGAATGATTTCACTTCAGTTAACATGAAGTGTAGTTGCATGCTTGAAAAGTTCTGCTTCTCATGATGAATCAGAGAGCTTCCCCAATGTTTCGTGGTTTGTTGAACGCTGCTGTTCCAGTTGTAAAGGGCTGGGTTGTGCAGCTGTGTGTGCACAGAAGTCCCTCTATTTTACCACCACAGGCAGGTTTATAGAAAGAGCTGCCATAAACACAGTGAGCAGCTATGCAGGAACTTGATGAACCTAAAGCACTGTATGATTTTTCTCCAACAGTCAACTTTTAAACCAAAGTGACAACTGATGTGATAAAGGCCAAAAGACAACTACAGCCTCCGTAGCCCTGCAGATACTGTATTTCACCAGATGCCCAAGAAAACACCGATTGCAGGATTTTTCCTCTGGCAGGACACAACCCAGAATCTTACAGAAAGGATGTATGAATGTGTGGTGATGTCCCAGCACAAACCACCATGTGGCTCTTCAGCCTCACAATCGGATCAAACCTGGGGAGGTGGGAATAAAAGAAAAACAGACCAAGAGAGAAAAAAAAATTAAGAGAGTGGGGATTGCACAGAAAAGTAAAGCCGTTCTTCAGTCTGTTGAGTCATGCCTGAAGATCGGAAGAAGAAACCTTCAGACTGTTTCAGCAGAAGGCAATTAGTGCAAGGGTTGCAATATTGCCAGCTCTTCTCTTAATATCTGTGCAACCAGAAGAGAAACATTAATGCCTCGGCAATCAACTGCTTGCTGATGAACACCTGTTCTGGACAACTTCAGGTGAGGCTGGTGGAACAGGAATATTTAAAAACAATGTAAAAAATGTAGAATAAAAAAGTGTAATTTACATGTAAAATGTGAATGAAAACAAAATAAAAGAAGAGGCAGCTTTAATGCCATATTTGATGACTTTACTGTTCAACTTCTGCCACAAGCAGTATTTTTGTATAATGTCAAATTTAAGTCCTATACAATAAAGATTTAAATACTTTGCTGCCTCAAATAGTAAGCTATCCAGGGATTTCATGGCAGGTCATGATATCTTCATTCTCAAGACATAATTAGGGTACTTGAAGCATGAACTCTGATAATGTTATTTCAACTTCTGCATTCTGGCACCTGACTGCTCCTCCCATTCCAACCGAGGCCCGAAAGAATTATAATCCTTTTCCATACCACTGTATTTACAGCAAATGGCTGTTTCAAACATAATGATTTACTTGCTGCAGTACCTGCTGTCCTAACCCACGCTCAGATTACAGAATCCATGTCAGGAATCAGAGAATCTTCCAAAACTGACCTCTGTAACAACATCCGAGGTGAGACGTGAGAAGTTATATGGTGGAAAAAACAACTGCCATAACACCTGACACACTCATTCAGGCGACAGCTAAGCAAGAAGGATGGCAGAATGATTTAAGTTTGGCTCAAGGACTGCACAGCTTGTGCTGCTCTCCATCTCCTCTCAGCACCTTTGAAAACTGAACAAAATCCAGCAGAGCTGTGATGATAAATGTTCTCTTGTGCAAGATGAATTTCATAAAACTTTACAAAATGTGGTATATGTTAAAAACAAAAGAAAGTAACAGCTGACACATAGGAGTTCCTGCTGGATGAATACTGCAGTTCTTACCTGAAGGTGGCATTGCTAGAATTCCTTCTTGTAACTCCATTGCTTCTCCCATACCAGCTCCATTTCACGCCTTGGGTTCAGAATTAGTATTTGTCTCTCCTGCAAGCTTTCCATCCTGTAAGTGGTACTAGAGATAGGTGTCTTTGTTCATTTTCTCCACTTTTTGGTGTCCTCAGCTCATGTCTTCAGTATGTGTCCTGACAGCAGGAGAACTGTGACACACTACTGTACTCACAGGCATTTGCTTGCAGATGTGAAAACAGAACGGGTCCCATTTCAAGATGCTGAACCTGCAGTGGTTTGGGGTAAAAGGAACCTTAGTAAACAGAGAGAAAATTCTGTCCAACAAAAGAATGCAGTTCCTAACATAACACACACATGCAGACCCTGTTTCAAGGTTGGCCATTTAAGGAAAAAACTCCCACCATTTGGCATGGGACCATCTGGATTCAGCTTGGAAAGGGAACCTTCTACGAGCACTGCCCACCACTCATTTTCCACATGTGTTTGGAAGAGCTGTCTAGCATTACAGCATAAATTTTGCTACGTCTCTTTCTAGCTGGCTGGTGAGCTCTGCAGTACATTTCCTATAACCTGTTTTCTATGACTTTGAGTGCCTTGTGTCTCTTCTTGTTTAATAAATCCCTCTTACAGTTCTGTGTAAAGTGGTCAGGTGCTATCTGGACTGCTTGGATTACTGAATGTCCTTACTGATTGCAAGATCCTATTAATGTTCTTCAAGTTTATTTGCCAAAGATTACAGTACCCCTAATTAATAGTAACTTTCAAAAATACAAATCTTGTTTTTTGCTCTTTAGTCCACCTTGCAGCAGCCTCCATAATACGCACAAAGAGCGAAAGATGGATTATTAAAAAATTTGTATGTTTTTAATCAAATGAATAGGGAGCTGTGTGTCCAAATCCATATTCTGCTCTGAAAGTCTCAGCTAAAACGCAACAACCCTCCTCCTGGCATCAAAAAAGCCAACAAATGCAGCATGCCATAACAAACTTGACGCTAATGGCTTTTACAGAACTCTCATATGAGCACACAGGGTCATCAGGATGGTGCACATGGAAGGAATGGATTCTCCTAGGTCTAATGTGAGATAACGCAAGTCTTCAAACAGGAGAAGAATCATAGCTTCAGGCTTTAAATTGGTTTCGTGTTGTTCTCTGATGTAAAGGACCCTGAATGCTTTGCCATCTGAGTAACTATTTAACCTCAAGGCTCTTGTCTGCTCTGTAGAATTTTCTGAATTTTTAGCTATACTGGCTTCCACTCTTGGCCAGGTTTTTTTCTAAATTATGTGCAACTACTGAGGCCCACTTAATTATCTATTACAGGATTCCATCAATAGTTTAAGCTATTTATTGATGGCATCTGACAGTCTTTTGTTTGCAAAATGTTTTAGTCAAATAGCCATATAGAGAAAGAATCCTTTTTAACTGGCACAAAATAATATCTGCCCATAATAACTGCCCAGCAGTTCTGAGGCTGCTATAATCCTTTGGAGTTTATCTGTGATTTTGATCAGTTCAGAACCAGGCACAGATTCTTTACTACTAAAAATCTGGTATTAAAATAAAATAATGTAAGCAACTTCCATGAATCCCTCAAGAGTTTTCTCTTCTTTGAAAAAGGTTGATGGGGGACAGAAGAGCATAGTAATATTCATGAAAAATTATATTCTTTGTCATACATGCATGTCATACATGCAACCAATATGTCAGCATTAAGTACTAAAGCTATCTACACCTCAGAACACCTTCATCATGCTGATCTGTGCTGTTTGCATCTACTCAATTGCCCCCACGTGAGGATGTTTGACTGTGTCCTTGTTTTAATAGTTACATATTTTAAGTAAATATTACTACAGTTTTAGGCACTTGAAATTACATTTACAGTCAGCAGTACTAAGGCCTTCCTTAGCCTTTAGTTGAGTTATTAATACAATGCAGTCCATTGCACTGAGCTCACATTCCCTCAGACTTCAGTCCTAAAAATGCACAGATCTAGACATTGCATACTTGCAAAACTAGGCATTTAACAGTGCTGATGGGAACCTTTACAACAAGAGGTCTAGGACATGCTAGGAAGTCCAGGGTCTGCAGGGTTCACAGCTATCACGCAGAACTCATTCTGTATCCTCCAGAAAATCATCCACTTGGAATCTGGTACCTAGAGACACATATGTTGCAATTACACAACTCTCTAATCACTCATAAAAGTGTTCCCAAGAGGTCACTCATGTGATTTTTTTTTTTTTTTTTTACTGCTTTTGGACTGAGATAAACCAAGAAGAAATTTCAGCTCACAGACTGCTGGAGAAAAATATAAATTTCAAGGGTTCAGAAATCCACTTCACTAGGTCTACTGTATGTCTCTGGTGGTCTGCTCCATTTTCATCTCTCTCTCCCTAAGGTGCTCCATTTTCATCTCTCTCTCCCTAAGGAGGAAATGGAATTTTGATACATATAATAATAAGAAAAATGCATAATTTGCTTTCCACCAGATTATGGTCCATGGCCTCATTTATTCATTCATGCCAGGGAAAAATATCTTCATGTCTTCCTCCACTGACTACAGTGGGATTTTCCACAATGTAATGAACTCAACAGAGTGGCCAGGCCTTCCTCAATCTAAGCTTCAACTAAGGTTAAAGTTCCTGACCTGAACTGATGCCCAGCCTGTCCCTGAACAGGGATGGGCAGCACCCGAGGGCAACTCCCCCCAGACTGCACACTGAGTGAAATGGTCTGTGGTAAAAGAATATCCTTTTGGCCAGTTCAGCTCAGCTGTCCTGGCCATGCTCCCTCCAGCTTCTGCACCTGCTCGCTGGCAGAGCACAGGAAACTCAAAAGTCCTTTAGTAAGAAAAAGCACTACTTAGCAACAACTAAATCATCAGTGTGCTGTCAACATTGTTCTACAAAATCCAAAACACAGCATTGTACTACCTACTAAGAAGAAAATTAACTCCATCTCAGCTGAAATCAGGACAATAGTGTAACTGATTGCAACTTAATTAATATGAAATTCTAACATTTTGAAAGAGACAGAGGAAAGCATCCAAGAAAGAACCCAAATATTAACAGAAAAAGAAAAGCAATAGTCTCGTTAGTCAGATGCTGCTGCTGACAGGAACACTCCCATGTGTTATACAAGCTGTGCTAAGCACGGATCATATGGCTGCTATCTGATGGATACAACAAAATCAGTCATTTATTTAATTCACTTCTGGTCTAAGTCATGAAAGAGCAGTCAAATCTAGGTAGGGAGAAATGTAAAATATAGGTTCTTGAAATGAGGCACCCAAATCCATAGGTGAGACTTTCAGAGGTGCTGAGTGTTCTGACCTCTCATTGTTGCTTGTGGGTAACAAGCCCCTTAGGCAACTTATATGAGACACCTGTCTCAGAGGCTCTACACAGAAGAAAATCAAATTAGCACAGTACAATCAGAATTCATTGCCTCCCAGTTGTGTGCATGTGTTATATTTGTGTATAAATATATAAATGTATGTATAGCAAGAAGTCAAGGGGGGTAACTTTTATGTTTAGGTTTATTCATGGTCACAACATAAATAGCCTTTTTCTAAGCACTCTTTCTTTGCCATTTCTTTACCACAAAAGTGATACAAAACCCACTTCACTGGGGAATTCCAGTCCATAAAGTGAATATAGGAACAAGAGGTATCACAGAATAATTTGGGTTGGGACTTTTAAAGGTCATCTATTTCAACCTCCCTGCAGTATCTGAACTGTAGCTCCAAAAGATAGTTCAGCAGTATTTCCTAACCCAGTTAGTTTTCCGTAAACGGTTTGGGTTGGAAGGAACCTGAAAGATCATCCAGTTCCAATCTCTGTGCTGTGGGCAGGGAAACGTTTCACTAGACCAGGTTGCTCAGGGCCCCATCCAACCTGGCCTTGAACAATTCCAGGGATGGGGTACCCACAGCTTCTCTGGGCAACCTGTTCCAGTGCCTCACCACCCTCACAGTAAGGAATTTCTTCCTAACACCCAATCTGAACCCACCTTCCTTCAGTTTGAAGCCACTGTCCCTTGTCCTGTCACTACATCCCTCTGCAGCCACAGTGATTTTTCAGATTCAGCATAATGGCTCCACTGTCTCCCCTCACCAGGGTTTTGATTGGGAGTAACACAGTCATTGTCTCTCTCCATCATCATGTTCTCCTCCTCTGTTTCCTCAATACCATCCTTGATGTGACCTTGGGCATTGGTTTTGCCCTGACAGGCACCTCGATGCTTACAGTGCACTTGGTCTTCACAGTAATGCTGTATGCAGCAAAAAGCTCAAGATCAGATTCTTCAACAACTTGAGAATCTGGAAAGAACAGGAGACACTTGAAGGCTGCAGGTGCAAATGTACCTTGACATCTTTCCTGTGTCTGTGAATTTCCAGAAAAGATGGTCCAAAACAGGGCCCTCACTCACTTCTTCATATTTTTTTACTATAAGACCTCTGTATTTTGTGAAAGTCTTCAGGGACACTCAAAATCTTCAATGAATTTCTTGATTCAGTAAATTTAGTTCTCTTTCTTGTACAGCAAGTCAGCTGCCCTCCTTTAGTTGTTCACCTCAGCAGAAAAAGAGAGACCTCTGAGAAATAGCAAGCCCCAAAGCCCCTCACTAACCCAGGACCTGGAGATTTGTTTCCAGGCAGTTTCTCAGTTTTGTAAAGCACAAGAAGAAGCCCTTTTTGCTGTTCTTCCCTAAAGTCCCACTGGGATATATATTATGATAAGGATGGTAGAATCAAAGTTAAGTATTTGTTAGGTACTTCTTTACTTGCTTGCAAAGAAAATGTTCCCTCTTTCATTACCAAGTAATATGGGAAAATGATAATGGTGTTCTGCACACAATAAAAAACCCAAACCCAACAGGTTGCCAATACCTATAGGGAGCCTACAAGAGACATGGAGAGAGACTATTTACAAGGCCATGTAGTGATAGGACAAGGGGGAATAGCTTCCAACTGAAAGAGGGTAGGTTTAGATTAGATATTGGAAAGAAATTCTTTACTGTGAGGGTGGTGAGCCACTGGAACAGACTGCACAGAGAAACTGTGGATGCCCAATCCCTGGAAGTGTTGAAGTTCAGGTTGGATGGGGCTCTGAGCAATCTGGTCTAGTGAAAGGTTGGAACTGGATGATCTTTCAGGTCCCTTCCAATCCAAGCCACTCTGATTGCAAACATATTTGTTGTTTTTTCTTTTACTTCTGTCACACAATGTGTATTTTTAGAAATTGCAATTCACTGCTGAAAGTCATAAAAAGGCTTTCAAAAATAGTTTTGAATGCAGGAAAATCAACCCTTCCTATACCAAAGCTTTACTGTGGGTGTATTTTTATGCAATATAAGTATGATAAACATTCAGTGTTGCAGACACAGCACCCTGACTGCAGTTTTGTCACGCTGCCTGGGCAGCGGTCTCCATCCCTGCTGCCTTGATCCAGCAGGCAGGAAGAGGCTCATTGCCACGTCGAAAGCCCATCTGGCGCCATCTGCCTGCCAAGAGCTGAGCAATACACACATTTATCTGTTTCTATTTATAATTTCAGAAAAGGTGTTTTTCTTGTTGCTCATGACAACAACGTTTGAAGTAAAGGCTCAGCCCAAAACTCTTGATTACTGATTTATAAACACAGAATCTATGTTAGTGACTTAAAATCAACCAGTGTGACTGTTCAATTTTCTCTCCTCAGGGAACAAAGAGGCAGAAAGAGAGGTTTTGCTCATGCACACAGATTAGCCTATAAAATGTTACCGGCCCAGGTAAGGAGACCTGGTGAAACACTGATTCTGCAGGTGTTTGTGTACACCTGGTTAAGAACAGTAAGGAGATGAGGTGGCTATCTCCATTGGCAACTCTGCCCCCATGGCTTTGAATGTTTACCTCCCTTCATGCTCCTTCCCCAGTTTGTCAGGGATCAATTTGTGGATGGCTCCCTGCTTCACTATCCAAATCCTTTTCTAGTCTGTAATCTGACAAAAAGATCAGGGCAGAAAACAACCCACGTTGCAACAAACATAATTTCCAATTCGGTCCTTGAACCCTCTGATCAGAGCTCCCTGCTCTAAGATGTATAAGCGGTCAGGATTTCTGGCTCCTACTCTGATAAAATGCACTGTGATCTACGGACAAAATGAATTGAGCATTACATGGATCTGTGCATCTGCCTAGATGAGCCTCATGGCATCTACCAAAGGGTGTGCTTTAGTACACAGAGGATATATCTACTAATTACTCTGAAAATCAGAGACTCAGAGAGGGAGAAGAGTGGGTGGTGAGAAGCCAACCTTGTGGGAAAGAGTGAGAGCCTACAGGCTGAGAAAATGGGTTAGCAAATGTGAAAGCATCTCTGAAGGAGATTGTGAAGAAAAATTTTGAAAAAGCCAAGATCCAAACTAAAACTTCGTAAGACTGAGACTGGAGTAGACTGGGAAAGATTAGATCTGTTCTTGTCTGATCTGTCCATCTCTTCGTCCTTACTTAGAAGCTCTTTATCAATACCAGGCCAAATCCCACCAGGGTTTTGCAGCCTTTCATTATATTGATGATCCCATGGGCATTTTAACCTATTTGCCTTCTTTTTATAGTCCTTCTACCTTTGCTTCATTCAGGACAACACGGAGCTTGTCAAGATCCCAGTTAAGAGCATGAATGTCACACACTTCATGGTTGAAAATGTCATACAAAGCTCAAGTTGGAAGGGACCCGTAAGGATCATTGAGTTTATTTCTCTGCTTCTCACAGGACTACCCAAAACTAAACCACATGCCTAAGCATGGACCAGACACTCCTTAAACTCTGACAGGTTTGGTATTGTGGATAAAATCCCAGTGGAAACATAAGAACAGAAAAACTTCAGAATTGTGAACTGAGCACTTCAAACACCAAGGAGGTATTTAACAGCAGGGAGATCAAACAAGGACCAAAATGGACAGGTTCTCAGGATGAAAGCAGTTTAGTAAATTGGAAGAAATCCTGGGAAGAGGGGGGGATGGAGAAATGCTGCTCCTACGTAGTTTTTACCCTCTGTGTGTGTTCCCAGAAGGGAATGCAGCTATAGGAACCCAAAAGCGGAAGCAGAAGACTGCCCCTTGGCACTGCTCCATTCCCTTAACTGGGTACAGAGGAGCTGTCAAACCAGAGGAACAGTTCCTCTACTGCCTACACAGTATTTGTTTCTGAACCTGGACTCCATAGAGGGAAAGGTGAATCTATAACTAAGACAACAGACTGCAATTCCAGGGTACACAGCAGTCAGAGGCAGCTCAGACAAGGCTTCCAGGTTAGCTGTGCCACAAAGGGGTTTCTGTCCTAGAGGAGTGGTCAGGGTTGGCCCCCACTAGACACTTTCCCTTCAGGCCACCCTGGCCATGTCCTACAGAGGGCACTCAGACACCAGGTTTGGAACCCTTTCTCCAGGAGCCAGGACTTGCACAACACCAGTCACACTCAACCCTGACCAAAAAATCAAGCCTCACCAGGCTGTGCACCTGGAAAACCCAGGGTTTCCAGCCAAATGCAAGTAATAGAGTGACCTGGAGAGGCCTGTGGCTAGAGGAGCTCCCCTGGGGTCAGTACTGTTTAATTTACTCACCAATGACCTGGATGAAGGGACAGAGTGTACCCTCAGCACATTTGCTCATGACACAAAACCGAGAGGAGTGGCTGATACACCAGAAGGCTGTGCTGCCATTCTGTGATACCTGGACAGGCTGGAGAGTTGGGCGGAGACGAACTTGATGAAGTTCAACACAGGCAAGTACAGGATCCTTCACCTGAGGAAGCACAGCACAGGCTGGGAAGCAGCTCTGTGGAGAAGGACCTGGGGGTCCTGGGGGACAACAATCTGTCCATGAGCCAGCAGTGTGCCCTTGGGGCCAAGAAGGCCAAGGGTATCCTGAGATGGACTAGGAAGAGCATTGACAGCAAGATGTGGGGGTTGACCCTGGCCCTCCATTCAGCCCCAGTGAAGCCTCACCTGGAGTGCTGTGTCCAGTT